GTTAATAAAGCACAGATCGTGCCTGGAACGGTTCTGCGAAAAAATTGTGGAATATGTAAAGGCGGCAAACAAAACCCCAAGAACGGGTCTCGCGAGGAATTGCGTCCCGGCTCGCCCATGAATATTGTTAACAAAAATATTACAGATGTAGCCGGGGCGTGTTTCGCGAGACGTGTGATGTGCAAAGGTCCCTGGACACAATGGCAGGGGAGTAGAAAAGTGATATATTAAAAAAAAAAAAAAAAAAAAACAATATGGTGATAATAGCAACATCTACGTAATTTCAACGCCTATATTTCCATCAGTCATTCCTTACTGGGAAAATTTATTAAGTAAATAGACTTAGAATATGTAACATTAGTAAAATATTGCGAAATACCTTTGTATTTATGACATCATTAGACAACCATTTGAAATAATTTTTATACCAATAAAATATAAATATCTTAATGTAAAAAGATTTTCTTTGGCATTGTTTTTATTTAGTAAAATTTAATGAAAAATTTGGCGCCGCTCACTTGAAATTATGTGAATTAACAAACATTAATTTGTTTCCATTTCGTTTGGGAATTTTGTTGTTAAAATTAGTACAACTTGAAATAGTAACGCCATTCGTGGTTCTCTGCTTAATTCTGTTCTATATCTACTTACTAAATAAATACCTAACCTATGATTATATTTTTAATAAACATAGAAAACTTTACATTATCTAAAAGGCAACTAAATCCAAGCAGGTAGTGTAGCTGCTATGTGACATAAGGAAACCTCACTAGCATGTAATAAAGGTAAATACATATGCATTATAAATTTATAGCAGCGTTGAATATTAAAATAATACTAAATAAAGCTAGATGAATGCAGAACGGAGCTATTTATAGATAAGATAGACCTACCTCACGATTTTCAAACTAGTATTACGAGGAAAATGTGTTTTCCGAGCTGTTTTAAGATTCCAAAGTATTTTATGCAAATGGTAAAATCATGTGATACATAAAATGCACGTCCCTGGTAAAATGGACTCGTTTTGTGTAAATATAGGATCCCGTGACGTCAGCGTGCTGTAACTGCAAAACTTGGCACTGTACGCGAATTTTCTAATTTGTTTATCTCGTCTGCCGACCGTGAATTCTGGCAGTTGAGTTCACAGTCATGTTTATTTACTTATTTAAATTATGAAGCATTTGATAGACATCATATAATAAATAGATAATGATTTAGTTCATGAAAATCTTGAAACGAAGCTTCGATAACAAATTGATATGTACTTAGTATACGTTTTTGGGTAAAAATTGTGAACAACTTTTCACTGTTTAAGATAATTTAGATACACTTACTGAAATATTACCATTTTGTTTTATTATGAAAAAAACTGAAATAATTATCTGGACATTGTGTATGTTCCATCTAGTGTTGAATAGCATAATATACATGGTTCTTTTTTTCTTTTAGTTTTTTTATGTAACTCATAGATGTCGCTGCTTAGGACGATGTCATGATACTCATAAGGTATAGGTGTCAGTTATAAATGTTAATATTATACATCCAGTGTGTACACACGTGCCAATTATTATTTATTTAAATTCGTTGTGTTGACTACGAATAAAAATTACAAAATAACTGGTAATTGTTAATATTTAGTTAGAATCACGTGAGATTTAAATCAATTTAAAATTTAAACTCTGTGTTGACTCACCTACAACTAGATGCCGCCACTTCAACACTTCACTTCACTTCATCAATAAAAAATATGACCGTAGTTAGTGATCCGAGGTCGAAGGAATGACAAAGGACTTCCAAAACATTCTTCTTTTTGAAAATAAAAAAAAACCACTTAAAAAATTGCTTATTATTTGAAATAAATAAACGAGTTAATAGTATTATTAATTGTTTTGTATTACAATTCAAATGTCAAATCAGACTTTAGCTGAAAGTTCTCTAATTCATTCGTTTAGGATATTAAAAAAAAGATGGTCTTTTATGATATCATTTAACATGTATCCAGACAAAACTCTATGCGGTTGCGGCAGTCGCTAGCATTTTGTATCTCTACTGACACCCTAATCTTCTATTGCAATTAGCCCTTCTGTGGGAATCTGATAATCACCCTTGTATCAATTACACATCACTTGCCCATCTAGATTTCCCTAGACAACGATTCGAACATTATCCATCTTATTAAACACGTGACTTGTCATCAAGCCATGCCCAAAGTGAATAGAAGCGGGTGGTACTTTCGTTTGTGTTTATCTGAGGCGATATTTAGAATAAGTTTCACATTCTTACAATTATTTCGTAAATATATGATGATCGAATGTATCTATTTATATATCAAAATATATACTTAATGATTTGCGAGTTGATTTTATTTTTTTCATTCTATTATTATTCTAAACAATGATGACATCTACTTAAATATGATTACTATACGTTGTGAGTAAAGTGTATTTATAAGGTTCAGACACGTGCCATAATGGTGGCCATTCACGGGCGATCTATATGGCTTTCGCGCCACGGGCTCGACGTCGCGACGAGCCAAATTCATGCCATTCACGAACGCGCCAGCGAGCCGTTCCATTTGATCAGTTTGAGTGTAGGCGTCGATAGCACCGGACGTGTTCATAATGAACTTCGATTCAGAAGATGAGTTTTATTTATCGACCATAGCGATTTGTCTAGTTTAAAAAAAAGAAAGCCAAAAATAAAGTGGTGTAAGGATTGGTTGCTGAAAAGATCGCAACTCACTCACATACATTTAATGAAGGAATTGACTTTGGAGCCAACTGACTGGAGAAATTATATGCGAATGAATGAACCTACCTATTTTAAACTTTTGGAACTGGTGACTCCGCTGATTCAGAAAAAAAAACACTAATATGAGGGAAGCTATAAGTCCTCATGAACGACTTAGTGCCACTCTTCGATTCTTAGCTTCGGGCATGTCATATGAGGAGTTGAAATTTCCTACACTTATCTCTCCACAACGTTTGGGAGTGATAATTTCTGATACATGTAAAGCTATTCTTTTTGCTCTTAAGGATTATATGAAATTAAGTAAAAATAACTGTTATATTTATGAATATTCTTTATTATAAAAATCAAGTTACAATTATTTATTTATTTATTTACACTTTGTTGCTTTATGATATAAAAATTTAACAAAATTACAAGTAAAGGAAAGGCAACTGGCGGCCTTATCGCTTTCGAGCGATCTCTTCCAGGCAACCACTGTGAGAAAAGAAAAAAGTAAATGTATTAAATTACATAAGGTAGGCAAAAAGTGCAAAAATACATGTATTACATATACTTGTAAAGAAAGAGAAACTAAACAGGAACAAAAAAAAAAAACTAAACTAATAAAGGATACATTAAAAAAAATTATACTAATAATAATAAAAAAGTGCACATGAACCATTTTAACGATGTCGACAGGTTATTCAGTGAAATCATCGGGCTAATTTTTTGGTCTCTTGTTCTAATTGTATTAATTCGTCATAGTACCATAATTTTGGAACATGGATGTCATCTGTACCAGCTCCTGATTGCATTGATGCTTTAACCTGAAATAAATAAATAAATAATGTATTTATTGTTTTCTTTTTAACCCTATTGTGACGGTATTTACGACGAGAAGTCAATCAATGTATGAATAAATTCCAACCTGTATATTAAATTATATTATATATACAAAGTATATATATGTATATATTATATTATATACAAAGGATTAATTTAATATCCTTTGTTTATTAATAATTGGATTATTTTTTTATCCCACTCTCGGTCCGATAAACTACGACACATTGGTCTAGTGGTTAGTACCCCTGACTGCGAATCCATGGGTCCCGGGTTCGATCCCCGGCTGAGACCACCATCGATGTGATGAGCATTTGGTGTTGTGCTTAGGTCTTGGGTGCTTAAATATGTATTTATATGTCTATCTATAATATGTATGTATATCCGTTGCCTAGTAACCATACCACAAGCTTAGCATAGGACTAGATCAATAATTGGTGTGAATTGTTTTTAAAAAAAATAGCGTACCGCGCATTCAACAACGTAGTAGGCATGTCTTAACGAATATGAACAGAAATACGACGCAAAAATATTTAACCCCTCAACATTATTACACTACACACAACATTAAATAATAAACAGCTAGGTTATAAGTATAAGTACTTACTTTATTAAACTCTTTCCTGAATGAGGCTCTTAGTGCCTGAAGTTTCTTTTTTACTGTGTCAATAGTGGCGTTAGGCGATTTGGTTTTATAAAAACTTAGCAAAACCTCTAATGCTGCATCGCGTTTTTGTTTGTAGTGGTAATTTATATCTGTCACATTCCACAAACACGTCAGGTCTCTAAACTTATAAATAAATTGATTAACAAAGTCACGGTTTGAACTCATTTCGAAAACGATTTATATTAACAATGCGTCACGTGCTTCTCGTCCAACGGCTAAACGCAAACTGAAATCAAAATGGCGCGGTGTTTGGCTCGCGAGTAACACCATTCACGAGCGAGCAAACCGTACGGCACGATGGCTCAGGCCTCAGACCGACCGGACCATTGGTTTTCCGCATTCACGAGCGCGCCGCCTGCGTATTCGCGCCGCGCTAATTGACTCGGCGCGACGGACTTTCGCGCAGTTGGAATTCCATCGCGCCGAGCCAATCCATTTGGACCGACAGTGTTTTCACATTCATGGACGAGTTTTGGATCGACAGCGTGCCAAATGTATCGATGGATCGCCCGTGAATGGCCACCTTAACAGTTATCGATATTAAATAACCCGAAATAATTTTTACAATTCGGGTTCTAATTATTATCCAATTTCGATAGACAAAAACGATTAAAGAAGTTTTATCTGACCTATTGAAAATTTCTGATATGTTATCGAATGACTATCCTATGTAAATCTAACACTGATTACTTTAGTATACATTTTAACACGGGCGGCCGTCTAGTTATCGTGTGCGAATAATAAAAGTGATGGAATAACAATGAACCCGAAATTATTCCTCTTACTCTGGATTTGGCTCCTTGGTTGGGATTGCGCCACCGCCCGATGCGTTTCTCGAGGTGAATGTGTTACAATTAACGGACACCCAAAGCCGTGTTCGGTCAATTCAGAACCAACACCAATTTTTAATAACATTACTGGCGCTGAACGAGATGATCTCTACAATATTTTAGAACAACGATGTCCCCATTTGGTAATTAATGAAGAAGGGAATAGAATTCCAGATGACGAAATTTTGACCTGCTGCGATCCGATACAGGTTGAAGTTTTCGCTGAAAGTCTCCTACTAGCAGACAGTGTGCTTGGAAGATGTCCAGTTTGTCTAAGAAGTTTCATGAGACAAATATGTGAAATGAATTGTTCACCCGATCAGGCGCGATTTGTTGATACCGTAGTTGAAACCGCCCCCGACGGAACAGAGTATGTGAATGAAATAAATTACAGACTTCATAATGACTATATGGATAATGCTTTTAAAGCTTGTTCAGAAGTAATGTTGCCTCAATCTGGAATGCCATCGGTGAATTTAATGTGTGGGAACGCTCCAGTCTGTAACGCTGACGCATGGTTTGGATATACAGGTGACACCGAAAATAATCCATTCGTATCTCTACAGGTCAACTTCTTGAGAGTAAACTCTACCGAAGATTCAATGCATGTTCACGCTCCATTATGCCATGAAAGTATTGAAGGAGATATACCATGCAGTTGCATTGATTGCTCCGCAAACTGTCCTTCTGGTGAGATAATTATACCACCTATCTGTACTGTACTTTCTGTAAATTGTATCGGCTTTTCAGTCGCAATAACCTTTGGAGTAATTAGTATCACTGTATTTATTGTACTAACATTATTAGAGTATAAAAGACAATGTAAGTTAAAGCAAAATAGTAACTCAACGCAAAATGAAGTTAATACTATAACAAGGGGCTTTCAAAGCCTTTTTGAAAGCATCGGTACATTTAGTGCTGATAATCCTATTATGATGATAATGATGATGTCTTGGGTAGTATTTATACTGTTTTTTGGTCTGGGTCGCCTGCAGTTAACTGCAAATCCTTTAGAATTATGGTCGGACCCTCAATCGATTTCTCGTCAGCATTTTAACTATTTCAATTCGAGATTCGGTCCATTCTATCGGGCTGCTCAAATATATTTAACAATTGACCTTGAGCCAATTCAAGTAGACAACACAACGTATGGTCCTGCTTTTAGAGTGGAAGCGATACAAGAGTTGATCAAATTGGAAGATGCTATAATAAACATAGGTCGAGAAGAAGGTTCTGTAAAACTGGAAAACGTTTGCTACGCACCTCTTCGTGCTCGCGGCGCAGAACAAAAACTAAGTGATTGTGTATCAATGTCTGTATCGGCTTACATACCGAACAGAATTATTAATAACAATACGTACTTAACAAATATACAAAATTGTTTAAACAACTATTTATCACTTAGTTGCTTACAATCTTGGGGTGGAGGTGCTGATCCAGAACTATCACTGGGTGGATATGAAGAAGATTTTATTAGTGCACACACACACATTATTAATTTCCCTATAACTAATCATTTGTCTAAAGTAGATCTGGAGCCTACACTGGAATGGGAAAATAAATTCATTGAATTGATGCACGATTATGAACAGAATTGGAAGTCAGATTTTGTTGACGTAGCTTTCGCAGCCGAAAGGTCTATTGAAGATGAAATAGAGAGAATATCGGAAGCGGAAATAATTCCAGTTGCGATTAGTTACATGCTTATGTTTATATATGTGATATTTGCTCTTGGCAATGTAAGAAGAATTCAAACGTTCTTCCTTGACAGTAAAATAAGTGTTGCAATTGCTAGTATTATTATTGTTTTGTTAGCGATAGTTTGTGCCATGGGTTTATTGGGTTTCATGAATGTTACTATCACACTATTAGCTATCAATGTGATTCCATTTTTCATTCTATCTGTTGGTATCGATAACGTTTTTCTTATGGTTAATTCCATACAATATATACAAACAAACCTTACAAAATATAGTGAATACAAGGAAGATATGAGTTTTGAAAAAAACGCCGCTTCATTTTTGGAACGATGATGAAAAATGAAGGACCATCAATGTTTATTTCATCTTTAACGCAAATAACGTGTTTTGCTATTGGTAGTCTAGCAAATTTTCCAGCAGTTCGTTCATTTGCTATTTTTGCAGCAGTTTCTTTAACATTTCTGTTTATATTTCAAATAACAGCTGTCGTGGGAATCTTATCACTTGATTACAAACGGTATATTAAGAGTCGTTTTGATATATTTTGTTGTGTTCAAAAGAAAATTATTAACGACGATGAACCATTACATTCTGAAATCCCGTACGAGAGCGTTACCCAAAAGTTGATGGAGCCTTACGCAAATTTTTTACTAAAATGGCGTGTAAAGGTATTTGTTGTTATAATTTTTCTTCTGTTCCTATGTGTATGTGTCGTACTAATTCCACAAATTGAAGTGGGGCTTGATCAGAACCTTGCATTGCCTGAAGATTCCTACGTTTATAAATACCTAAACGCTGTGAATAATTTATTACCCTTGGGTCCACCGGTGTTTTTTGTTTTGAAGAGTGGTTTAAACTTCTCTAACCCTGAGCATCAGAATGTTATTTGTGGAGGTCAGCTATGTAATGACGATTCTTTAACTATGCAGATATTTTTAGCCGTACAACAAGAAGAGATTACATATATGAGAAGAATATCAAACTCATGGCTTGACGACTTCTTTGATTGGGCTAGTACACCCAATGTGTGTTGTAAATACAATACTACTGATGGTGGTTTTTGTCCAAGTATTTCCTCTGAACCTGAATGTGACTATTGTACTATTGCAAGGAGTGTTTATGCAAATGGTTTGAGACCCGCCGAAGATGCTTTTGACCGTTACATTCCTTTCTTCTTGCAAGATGCTCCATCTAATACTTGCAATAAAGGTGGTTTAGCTAGCTACTACTCTAATCTCAACTATGTTTTAGATTCTGAGGGTCGTGCGACCGTTCATGACTCTAACTTCATGGCGTATCATTCTTCACTGAAAACCTCTCACGATTACATTTCCGCAGTTAAATATGCGTATGAAATTAGTGAAAATATAACAGCTGCTATTCAAAGTCGTACTGGCTTAGACGTTGAGGTATTTGCTTATTCTGTATTCTATGTATACTTCTCCCAATATTTGACCGTATGGTATGATACTTTTATTTCGTTGTTATATTGTCTTATAGGAGCTTTCGTAATAAATCTCATAGCAACTGGGTTTAACATTTTGACTACTCTAGCGATGATGTTTACAGTTGTAATGGTAGTTGTTGATATGATGGGTATAATGTATATATGGAATATTCAACTAAATGCCGTGTCTTGTACTAATTTGATTGTAGCAATAGGTATTACTGTGGAATATTGCACTCATCTAGCGTATGCTTACAACACTAGTCAGAAACCACCATCAGAAAGAGTAGAAGATGCAATTATAAAAGTCGGTGCTACGATTATTACTGGAATAACATTTACGAATATTCCTATAATTGTCTTAGCTTTTTCGTACACTCAACTCATTGAGATATTTTTCTTTAGAATGCTGTTTAGTATAGTAGTTCTTGGTTTTCTTCACGGTTTCATATTCTTCCCTGTTCTGTTAAGTTACATAAATAATTTAAAGTATAAAATATAAAACGAATTACTGAATATTATTGTATTATAAGACGCAATATAATGGTAAAATAATTTAATGTATTATCCAGTGTGACTTGCAGATATAATTTATACCAAAATAAAAATTAATATTTTATTTATCCGAAATATATATATACTGATATATGAGTTTTAATATTAAAATGTGATTTTTTAATAAAACTACCGAAGCACTGATAAGTTTATATATAAATTTGAAATTATGATAATAGTGATAAGTAGAAATCACGAAGGAAACGTAATGTGCGGATTTAGTAATGTAAGATAAATTAAGACTGTGATACTCGTATTAATATATTGACATAAAATCTATATTATGACCAAACACTATTCTCCTTGACCTTTTTAACTTATACTATAATTTATTAATGTATTTAAATTGTTTCCCTATCCCAATGTTATTATAATAAAATATTATTCAATAATAAACACTTTTATTTCTAAACACTTACAATGACAATTAAATTAACAATATTATCATTAAGGAATTAAACAAATTAATAACTTTTTACAAAAATACAGCATAGTGCATACTTAATGAATGAATATTCAAAACTCACGCAGGTTATTTTTTTTAGCGCCAAATGTCAACCTGCAATAGACATGCCCCAATACACAGATTTAAAATGGCATTGAGCAGATAACCAATTTTTAATGCAAAAAGAAAACATTTTGTTAGTTAAAAGGATTTTGATTTAATAAAATGTATTTAATTATTCAATACTATGTCAAAATCTATACAACAATGCCTCTTTATAATTATACTTTATTAATAATCGAATGTCAGAATCAAACATTTTTTTTGTTATTTTCCTGCCTACATATTAATTACTCTTATCAATAGAATAAGGTGATAGATATTGTTTATTATTATTATATAGTGGTAGTGCCTTTACGTTGAATAAAATTGTTATCTTTGCAAAATCCGCAATCCGCCTAATATCGACCTTAAAATATTATCGAATACTATGAGATCAATTTAATACGACTATACAAAGTAATAATGTATAGGTGTAATATGCATATTTTCGTAACAATACAAGGAAAATGTAATTAACTAAAAACCTTATTTTCTCGTACTATCTCTATTGTATTATTGATTTTTCTGTCAAATAATTATAAATTAACAGAATCGTACCAATATGTGGTGACGCAGTGTTAAAAAAAACAAACGACCAACAGTTACAGATATCGGCAAACATCTTGAACAAATGTTGCCTGCGCAGAAGCGATTTTTATATATCACGGGCGGCGGCGAGAGAGTGACTTGTCGATCGCGTGATTGGTAAATCAGTTGACGTTTGTTTCCCCTACTCCCTTGTTTAATGCTCAAGAAGTTTGCCGGTATCTATAATGAACCATTGATTTAAGGTATTAATCACTAAATATATAGATGCAACATTTCCGCAATGAAGCGGCGGGGTTTTACGAACTTTACACTATAATAAGTCCTTTTTAGTTAGAAAAGACTCACATATTATATTCAACAACCGCAGCTGAGGTGTAACCTTTAGTATTTGATAATAAATAAATATATCCTTCACGCATCCAAAACATGATTCAAATAAGCAATATAACATATAGCCAGTCGAAGAATTTCAATCTTTGACAGTTTTTTGTCTGGTGGCAAAGTTGGGAGAAGTCTCCGAAGTGAACCAAACGCTGCGTTAAATGCTTCAACTCTTATTCTCTCCCTAGTAGCGTGCGCTGTTCTGTATTTTAGAGTGGCTCTCCTTCTTCGTCTTCTCTCTTCTCGCGATAGACCGGCGTACGGTGATCCCGCTCCACTAGACAGATAAGCTTCTTCGGATACAGCGCAGGGCTCCAAAGATCGATCTCTAAAATTAATAATAATTCTTAACTTAATGTTGTATAAGTTAAGATCATCTGAACGACCAGGTTTATTCGCCTAATTCAATAAGTTAATTCAACGGCATTCCGTGCGATTGAATTAGAAGAAGCAAATCATTTATAGGTTTAACAGTATTTGGAGCCTATTTAATTATAAATGAACAAATTAAGCCTAAGAATTAGCAATTTTACGATGGTTTGTCATATTAAAAAAATTTTTTATCTTTTAATAATGCGAATACTTTACCATTATTTTTGTTAATTTTTATTGCAGCTTGTGTCAGCCCGTGATTATGCTTACTTGGATATCTTGGGACAATTGTATAATTAAACGCATATTAAAACCGATGAATGGTTTTATATAAGTAATTATATGTTTGTGCATCCTTTGAACTAGAATTTAGTATTTTATAGAATCCGAAATTACCTTTTTCTAGGCGCCATGTTTTCGCAACCAGTTATTGGTAACAAAGCTTCCCTCGTGTCAGCCAGCATACAGGGCAACGATCCGTCCTCCATATTGGCAGCTTCTAACCAGCTCTTCATCATGAGATCCTAATTCTGAGAAGTTGATAAACTCATATATAGAAATTTGCAATAGCTATAATATATAACGTAACAAGTGTTTAAAAAATGGTTTATGGTATAGAAAAAATCCAGTGCCCAAAAATAACTGATGTTTTATATAACGAATGTATTTATGAAAAGATGGACAAACGTTTCGTAGGTTTTTTTATTGAAATTAAAACTGAAGAATATAATTCTAATGTTCTGTAATAAGGAATATAATATCTGATAATTCACTATGAAATTTCACTACTACGCGATAAACAAATCTAGTTTTTATAAATAAAATTTTATCGCAAAACATGTTGCTAAGCGGAAAAAATGAGGCGGCTGAACCAATACGATTATTTTTTTAATTTATTCCTTGAACTCTGAGGAAAGTTTTTGTGTAGAGTAAAATTTGCAGTCTCTATAGGTAAGCATAGCAAAATGTTTCATATGTTGGCATGTAAGAACTAAAATGGAAGGCTAAGTAAAAAAATCATATAACGGCGAAAGGAAGTTCACGCGGACTGCTTGAAGATAGATGTAGGTATTTACGTATTACCAAAGAAAAGTAAAGATTATATATTGCACTAATTAGGACGAATAATGGGTAGGTTAGATATATATTAAGTAGTCTGCTTTAAATATTATTATCTGAATGGTACGCCCTACAGCATGGAAAAACAGCAGCTATGTGTAAATCCTTTTTAAATTGGTAGTCTATATAAAGAGGAACACCTACAATTCGAGGCTATAATCACTTAGATCGAAGCGATACCCTGAAACGGGCTAACGAAGCTATTCCGACCGCTAAGGATATATACAATTTCTCCACCATAGCCACTGGGGTCCTTGAGCCGGCCAGTCAGTGGTTAGACTGGTCAGGGATCCTTCCTATAGTTGGGAGCATACGTAGCAACTCCTACCTCCACTTAATTCATGAAATCTAATTAAACAAGCAAGACAACACTTTCAACGAAAAAATTCCCGTTAAAATATAATTGAATTGCATAACTTTTCGCTGTTACTTAAGTTTTGAGCATTTGGAATATATTTTAAAAGGAGTAGGCAAAAATCTCCTGTTAATATTCTTTACCAACGTCACAAAGTTAGGTTTATGATAAGGCATTATCTACAATTAATTTCCTCAATCTATCTTGCTAATTTTTTATTGAAGAATATTCTTATAAGTATACGCAGTTTTTTTTTTCAATTTACAATAAGTCTTCCTAATGTAACTTTAAAGGTTTTTTAGTATTCTAATTTATATAACCGCGTACAAAAAAAAATTCTTCAACTTATCAAACAATATTATATTTTACAAAGTCGTAGTCCGTTTTGAATAAGAGGGTAAGTTTATATATTATTCTATGGCACTCAAGCCAACTCAACTGTCAAAGGAAACCCTTTCAAGCCCCGGGCATGTTTTGATTCCTGATCAAATCGAATTTACTGGCCGCAGTACAAATAAATAATACATTCCACGTTCACACCTCGCACTAAACGAGGTCTTTAGGGGATAATAAATCCGTATTTATTCTTTTTATATGTCTGCAACCCCTCGTAATCGAATCATGTTATAACCATGTTGAATCGATTGTATCTAGTTATCGAGAACACTTAATAAGTGAAGCGTGGCGTGGGCAAGTGCTCAGCCTCTGCTGCCCTGCGATTCTGTACCTCACTTTTCGAACTCACACAGCGGTTTTCGCATCGGCGGTCGATCTCAAATCAGTCGTGAAGCAGTCATTTTATGATTTGGCAATCTGAAAAGGTGGGAGCTCATGTGGAAAATCATATTCGGAGCCTAGACCCCTGTATTTGCATGCTTTAGCTTTTTCAGCAAGCCGCACTACCTGTGTTGTTGGTTCCATGTAGATGGAAATGGGCTGGCGTGTCTGAACAGGTTGCATTCCATACCAGCACCCGGCCCATCTTTCACGGAATCAAACTCATACCGTCCGGTCTCTTACCGACGTAGTCGCAATATACGCTGACGTCGCAACGTTGAGATCGCGCAGTACTAATACTAAAACTAAACAATGAAGTCAGGATCGCAATAGCTATTTCTATTAGGAGTTACGGTACCGGCTGTACTGTACCGTCTCTAAGTTCTCTCTCTCTCTCTCAACTGTTTTATGAGATTTAGTGTCATTGGTGCACTTAGCTTATTAACTGCATAGTAAAAAGTGTCAAGTGAGTATACCTAATCTGTTTCATTGAAATATTCTATCCGCGACACTCCACGTAATGAAGTGTTTATTTTCTACGTTTCCCTCGGATGTAAGTAGTACGAAAAATTGTCGTGAAACAAAAATTAAAAACCTATCCTAATGGTATTTTTATACCGTACATAGAAGTAGACACTACTGTGTTAGGTAAAGACGCTACAGACGAAAGAATTGGGCACGTTGATTTTATATTGGACCGTATGATTTTCTAAATTTTTTGGTTCAAGAAGATGAGCCTTCTGTTCCGACCAATCTTATAGTTTCGGGGCGAATCTAACTATAATACGATATACGAACTTCAAGTTTATGAAAATTTTACAATTATGTAAATTGTATATACTGACTG